ATATTGTTTCATATTTTCCACTTTTAGAAACATGTAATTTTGAAGAATGAACATGTTTATTTTATGGCAGAAATATACAATTTCCTTCATGTTCACTGATAAGATACCTAATTTAAAAAAAGAAAAAAATCCCATTGCAAGACTTCCATTCAACATATCTTCATGGGTATTGCTTTTCTTCTATAAATAGCTTTCTTTGTATCTAATAAAAATGAACCTGATTAGCTTAGCATTATGCAATATATCATTACATTTTTCTTTTGACAGTAGATAGAAAGTGAAAGAGTCAAATTATTTCATATTTTCATTACATTAGTTCTCTTTGAAATATTTATGTTTTGATCTTTGAAAGTTCTTTTTATAAGAAATAATCTAAATCACTCAAACTTAAGTTTAAATGTTGCTCTTAAAAAAAAGAAGATATTCATTTTGTGATACTGGCACAACGCTAGAAATGTCTGACCCCTGCCACAGAGGAAGAAAAAGTATATTATTATCACACTCAAATTATATTGCATTAATTTCCCCCCCTATCAAACATGCCTAAAGTGTAAAGCACATAAGTATAATTTGAAATAATTAAAATATTGAAAGAAAATTGGGTATGGAATGCTCTTTGATAATACATTTTTTGTCTGCTATAAACATGCTACATATACTAACAGAAATACAGGTAATTACAGGTAGGCATTAAATTGAATTAAAATCTGATAAAATGGTCAGTTGTCAAGTGCAATATTGATTGACATAAAGTTCTTTGGATTTAGATGTTAGATGATTACTTTTAGGAACATGACTAAAGTCCATCCAACTATTTTAATTTTATCCTCATATATTTGTATTTGCAAAGTAGTAGAGAACTTCAATGGGTATGAAGAGCATTATGCATAAATTAAACAGTTGATTTAATATCAGTTAAATTATTACTTTCACATTTTATTTCCTTTGAAAATCAATACATTAAATGCTCCTACATTCCAGAGTTTAAATTGCCGCTTTTGTTGTTTTTAGTTCTTCTTTCTCAGTGTAAAATTTATTCTTATACTGAGTTATAAGAAATATTTTCCCACTTTTGCAAATATCTTAATTTGGGGCCATCTGAAAGTGCAACAGAAGTATTTTTCCAAATGAATTGGAAGCATATTTGTGTTCTGCTTTACTTTCATTAATTTGGAATTGCATGACTTTGGGAACAATCTGTCTTGAAATTAAGTAGCCAGTTTTTGTCATTTTAAACAAGGACTGAACTATTCTCATTGTTTCCCTTGCCTTATTGAAAAAGGAAGAAAAGAAAGTATAAGGAGAGAGGAGGGAGGGAAGGGTGAGACATAAGGAAAAAAACTGTAAGAGAGCCCAGAAATAAATATTATACATACACACACACACACACACACACATATATATATATGTAATTTGAATACTTTGCTGAGTCATGAGAATAGGATTAAAGATACAGGGCAAGAAACTGACATCTTAGATTAAGTTCTTAAATTCTAAACTTTTTCCTAAATTCTGACCTTTTTCACATTTTGTGTGGGTTCTTCATTACATACTAGTTTGATTTTCCTATCAAGGCTGAGGGAACAGTGGGTGCGGGGCAGAGATGGATATCCAGGACATTTATTAAAAATTTCCACTCCACACACATAGAGGTGATATTGTTGCCTAAACAAAAGACATGTTCTGAGTATGATGCTAAAATTGTTATGAACTGTTTAATTCATAACTGCAATCATTAGTTTAGCTGCAAGGCATTTTGAATATCAGCAAATTATCTACATTTACATGAAATATATTTTTCTGAGATAATTTAAGTATCTACACTATAATCATATATATATAGATAAAAGTAAGATTTTGTAATCTCTACCTGGAGATATATTTGTATGAGATTATGCAACATATCAAATTGAACAAGCACAAAGAGTAAGCTCAGTTTGCATTCAAATTTTAATTGATGTCTGAAACATTACATACTGTTGTTCTCCAAAATTCTATAGAAAGAATTTCCTGGGTTCCTTAATCCAATCATATACCACCGATATACCAAATTTAATTATTTACTCAGTATACCTGAAAACCCAAAATTCAGATATTCAAAACCACACAAATTATGTTCTGTTGTATATGCCAGTGTTTTGGCAGGAAACCATATGGAAGGAGAAAAATAATTTATTTTTAAATTCTACACAGTTTCATGATTCTATATGTTAAAATTTCAAGTTTATTAGGGCAAGGATAAGTTTCCTTTTATCCTCTTCATACAGATGGGAAGAGTATAATTTAAAAATTAGAAATAACTTCTTTCTATAAATTATATAATTGTTATTTTTTGAGATTAAAAAATGCTGGATACCTTACGAAGAGTAGAGGTAGAAATAAACCACCTACAGCAACAAGATTATATGAAATAGTGCTGGTTTGAAAACAATAATATTACTTTGTAAATCTTTGCAAAATACATCAACAAACTTTCTGGAAGCTACTTCTATTGTCCAGACCTGCATTTTTGACTTCATGTAATTGTTGCCTCTTAGTTTTTATACATCAATTAAGAAATAAAACTTAGTTACATGGAGGATTCCACTTTGCCTTAATATTTTATAATTTGTACAACATTGCCATATTTATATACGATAATATTGTGAAAACAATTTTAAAGAAAAATAATTCCCACTGTGAAGACAAAATTAATAGCAACCCCAATTGTGAAGGCAAATACTATCATTTATGTTTATCTTCTAATCCTGGATCTAACATGGAGGAGGTAGATGGAGCGTAAGAGATACATTGTTTCCATGATAATATCATGATATTTATTACTTCCCCTCTGAAAAAAAAAATTTGGAAGAGAAAGCGTTGCACAGAACTGGGATAGTTTACTTCTCTTGGCCAAGGTAGCATTATTATTGATTTTTTTTTAACTCCTTATTACCACCTGTTCAATCTGAATTCAAGCAGTTACTGTCAATTTACTCATGGGTGAATGCTGCCTCTTTGTGGCAGAATGCCACGGAAAATGTTCCTTAAACAAAGTTCATGAACAGCCCTTGACATCGTACACTGCCGGTGAGATTATGCAGACATGTACCACACACCAATGAAGCATGTGGCTCTTTAAGGTTCAATTAATCCAAACATTTCCTACCCTTGAATATAATCTAATTCACTGGCAAACCTTACTCAGACATGACCAGCTTATACTCACCAACATTCTGACATTTAGGATATAGATCAACTGGAGATAAAAGTACCCATCATGGTTGTTGCGGGAAGCTTTACAGAAGGTAAACTATGCAAAATTGTAGACCAAATAAATAATACTGGTATTACAAAATATAAAATCAATATGCAGTACATTACTTACCATGCTCCACATGTTAGATGGATACTTCAGTAAGGAAAAAAGTATAAACAGTTGAAATTTCATGAATGAGCACATTCAATGACACATTTAGATAACCATACTTCCCTGAACCAACAAAGGTGCAATTATATATGTTTGATCATTAGGGGGACATTTTAGGAGTAGAAGTTAGCTACTGTCTTAAATTAATAATGGCTATTCATTAAATCACACAGCTATTTCTTTGCACTTAAGTAATCATTACTTCAGTCCCTCATATTTGACATAGTTATCAAGTGTTTATTCAGAAACTATTTAAAAAATTACATGTGCTGGGATACATGAGACTGTAACAACAGTAGCCCCATCTTACAGAGATTCTGTTTGTGGTTATCATCATTGCTTGTTGCCCAGAGGGATAAAGACATTGTATAGAGATTTGTACAGTCCATCATTTGGTCTTCTGAGGTGCCAGTACACGTGGATCTGTACAAATGCAACTGGGTTTGGTTAAACAATCAAAAATTGGCTACAATAGTAGTCAAATCAATACATCATTTTGGTTGACTAATAAAAATACTTTTAAATCTTCTCTAATAAAACCAGAAACTTGCACATGATTCTCACTGGAATGGCCCAATTAATTGCCCTAAATATTTTTCTTTTATACACTGGGATACAATCAGGTTTTTTTTTTTAATTACAGATCCAATTGGGTGGGTTGCATTGACTTTTAAAATGTAAGTTCTCCATATTTTTAATAAGATTTTAAATGCCTTCCTGATATCACTTCAGTTTTGGAAATACAGCTCCTGATATAGTGCGACACCTCTGTTCAAATCATAGGCTAAATAGTGAAGGAAAGAGAAATGCTAAATGTGCATATAAAAATAGGTGCTACAATAAAATATTCGTATATTTCATCAATAAGTTATTTTGACTAATCAATTATGGATCATATAGCTCTGTAATTTTAATGATTTGTCCACATCTATGGTGATCTTTTCAAGATCACAATACTTTTGTTCTTTTAATTCAAATGTCCAGAATGCATACAAACACATCCTTTAAAAAGAAAGGAAAGGGTTGAGAGGAGGGAGGCAGGGAGGCAGAGAAAGAGAGGAAGCAGAGAATAAAGAGAGAGAGAATTGGGGACGGGGAAAGAGAGAAAGAAAAAAAAACCCAACAACAAAGTTTCTGTTAAAGTTGGGGGTGTGCTAATCTCTCCACAAAAGCCATCTAGACCCACCCATGGCTCAAAGGGGTAGAAGGGAAAGGGGGAAGGAATAAAAGAGGAGAATCTATGCGCTGTCACCTCCCACCATTCTCAACACTTCCAACCACTACAAAAATGACTACGACCTTTAACAAGTCACCCGCGAAGCAAACTGCCCTCCATAAAGCCCTTCTCCTCGCCTCCCCCACACGCCAGAAGAGAAAGTGATGTGCCCAGTGTACACAAACGTTTTCCCGCGTGTGATATTAAAAGGAAATTGCACACCCTTTCAGTATCTTCCGCCGAAGCTGAGAATCTCGTGCCAAGGCACTTCACCCTAAACGTTGAAACAACACAATGAATCAAATGGGGTTCACGTGTGTATCTGCTCGCTTGTTTGTTTGAAATGCAAGAGCTCCAAGGGAGTTTCTTTGCCTTTTAGAACTGGCTAAAGGTGGTCTGTTTTTCCAGCACTTCGAGGTAGTCCGGCTCAACGTTTAGTTTAGCTTTTAGCTCCAGATACTCGTTCCGGTTGGGTTCTACAAAGACAGCACTGGGGGGGCTGTACAGCACCGGTTCCCTCAGCCTGCTGTCCCCCGCCCCCGGGTGCAAATACTGATGGGGGCGTCTCAGGTCATAGTTGGGGGAGAAGGTGTAAGCAGCGGGGCTGCACGGGAATTTGGGGTATTCCGGGAGGCTGTTGCCTGCGGGGGTGGTGGCGCAGTGTTTGTCTGGTTCTAAAATGCCCCTGTAAAAGCGATCGGCGTCCTGCACCGGCGAGAGCAGGTCCTCCCGGGGCTCGATGGTGCTGACGCTGTAGGCGGGGCTCCGCAAGTGGTGGCTTTCCCGCCTCTCGTCCTCCCCCGCCGGCTGCAGCTGCACCGGGGGCGGGGGCTGCGGCTGCGGCTGCGGCGGCGGCTGCTGCAGGTGGTGGTTGCTGCTGCTGTAGGTGACCTTGAGCTCGTGCAGGTCTTTGTAATCCTCCACGGAGTTGCCCTCCCGCGAGCGGTAGATGGGGTTTTTGCACATGTGGCCCAGGGGGTGGGGGATGTACTCGTACACGTGGCCCGCGGGCGTCTTCACCTTGGGCAGCGCCGGCGCGCGGTGCTGCGCGTGCGCGTGCGGGTGGCCCCCCGCGCCGCCGCTGCTGCCGCCGCCGCCGCCGCCGCCGCCGCCGCCGTACACGCTGTACTGCATGTTGAAGGAGCTCACGTCGGAGTTGTGGGTGCTGGCATGGTCGCTCTGGTGCTTCTTCCGGCGCTTCACGACGAGCACGAATAGCCCCGCAGCCACGAAGACCGACATGATGAAAACCAGCAGCAGACTGAGGATCAGCACCGACAAGGGCACCGACGACGCGGCGCCTCCGCCCGCGCCCAAGCCCGCGGGCGCCCCGGTGCCGTTCAGCCGCACGGCGGGGGTCACCGCGCTGGTCCTCGCGGGGACCTGGATGGACGAGGGCGCGGGCGTGGACACCACCACGTCCGAGTAGTCAGGGCACAGCAGCTCCGACTTAATGGAGCGCATATCCGTCTCGGCGAACTTCTTGGGCGCCTTGCAGATGACCTCGTCCACCAGCACGCCCGCTTTGAGCTGCTCCACCCACAGCTTCATGCCCACCACGTCGCAGGTACAATCCCAAGGGTTGTCGTGCAGGTCGATTTGGATGAGTGACGTCAGCTGGTCCAGGACTCCGCTCACCGGCAAGGAGGTGAAGTGGTTACTCCTGAGGTTGAGCCTCAGGAGAGTCAGGCCTGAGAAGACGCCTGAGGGCAAGGTCTGCAGGAGGTTGTTGTTCAGGAATAGCAGCTGGAGGTTTGGGACCGGGTCGAAAGTCCCAGGTTGAATCTCGCGGATGAGGTTGTATTGGAGGAAGAGATACTGCAGGCTCTGCAGGCCGTAGAACAGCTCCGGGCTCAGCCTCTCGATCCTGTTGCCATTTAGGTAGAGGCGCCTCAGGTTGGTGAGGTCCCCGAAGGCGCGGTCCTGGATTGTGGAGATGCGGTTGTTGCCCAGGTGGAGGAGGTCCAGCCCCGTGGCCTCCAGGAAGTCACTCCTGCGCACCAGGGCGATGTAGTTCTCCGTCAGATACATTTTCTTGGGGTTGTAGGGCTTGGGCTGCAGCTCTGCGATGCTCTCGATCTTGCGCTCCTGGCAGTTGACGTTGAGGCCCAGATCGGAGATTTGCAGGTTGCAAGTGCACGCGGTGGGACACTCCAAAGGCACCGGAGATTTGGTCTGGTAGGCGATGCTGGGGCCATAGTTGCCGTAGCCCAGGTCCTTGGAGGGCTGCCGAGAGGTGGGGCGCACCCTGGGCTTATTGGGTTGGCGAGTCCCCTTAGGGGGCTTCAAGGGGGGTTTGTAAACAGCAGAGGAAGAAGTGGCCACGGAATTCACCGAGGCCGGGGTGGTATGTAAGTACCCCGTGGTGCTCAGAGGCGTCTGCGGCCTCATCTCGTAGTCCGAAATAAGTTTCCTTGGGCAGAGTTCCTGCTTGGACACTTCGTCCAAGTCCCGGCCGTGTAAGCGGAAGGGGGTCTCACAAACCACATCCCCCACCAGGGCGGAGTAGGAGATGCTGTCTAACCAATCCTTCAGGGAGATCAGCTCACAGGAGCAATTCCAGGGGTTTTCCTCCAGTTGTAACTCCACGACTTTATCCATATGCTGCAAGAGCCCCACATAGGGCAGAAGTTTCAGCCGGTTCCCCCGCAGGTCCAAGTGCGTTAACGGCACAAAACGGAAAAGGTTGTTGGGTAAACTGGACAAGAGATTGTCATTGAGGATAAGCACCTGCAACAAATGCAGTTTCCCAAAAGCGTTGGGTTCAATGACACTGATGTAATTGTAATCGACCTGTAGGTACTCCAGGCTCTCCAAGCCAAGGAAGGTATCATCACGCAGAAGTTCCAGTTTATTATTGTTCAGATGCAATCTCCTTAAACCCCGCAGCCCGTGGAAAGCCCCGGTCTCAATGTCCTGGATTACATTGCTCCCCAGATGCAAAATCGAAGCCCCAGTGTAATTGACAAACTCATTGGGATAAAGACGACTCAAAAGGTTTCCAGACAACAGGAGGTGGTAGATTGGGAAACGGGGAGGGCTAATTTCTGAAAGGCTGATGATCCCCCGATTTTCACAGCTCACAGTTAAAATGCCGTCCTTTTCCTCACAAGGACATGCATTGTCACAGATTTCCCCATAATAATCGATGGTTTCTGCACACGAAAGGACGAGAGATGTTAGAGCAAACGCTAGAGTCTGCAGCATCCAGCTCTGCATTTTTCTGTGAAGATCCTGTTCCAAAGTTACTGGGGGGCAGCACGTGTGCATTTTATCTCCTGCAAGGGAGAGAGAGGGGGGGGAAAAGGAAACAACAGAATATGACAAAAACTTAAGGGATCAATCAGAAAGTCTCCTTCCTTCCTAATACTGTTTTTCTGACATCCAGAAGAAGGGGAGAGTAATGACACCCCACACCCCGAGGTACATGGACATTCTCCAGACTTTATTAAAATCTGATATTCACTTTGATTTAAAGGTTGATTTCATTCCCTAATGACAACAGGAACATGCTGCTCCTTACAAGATAAGGGCAAGTTAGACAAAGTCCCGTTTTAGTGATCTTGCGTGTCCCCCCCCCCACTTTCAAAACCAATCCATAAATATACATAAAATGGCTGTCAGTTCAGATTCACGGTTTAAATTTTAGAGAAAAGAAGCACCATATTTATCAGGTTTCCCACCTCACCTATACCCAGTCCCTCTGCTTTTCTTTCAAAACCTCTTCAGTTAACAGTTCACCGTGAAGGTCTCCCATTTTCACGGAAAAGCCCAGGAGCCACAATACTTGGGCTATTTTAAAACCATCGCTGGAAATGCCAGGGTGGGAACCTAAAGAATACTTTTCACAGAGGCAAAAAGCATGCAAGATAAGGCGTCAAAAGGACCCAGAAGAAGCTCTTAAGGCCAATTGTCTTCGGGAGCTTTGAGCATGGAGAAAAAAGAGAGCGCTTTCGCTTTGATGGTGGACTTCACTATCACGCTATTAAGCACATCAGCGTCCTAATTGCATGCACGGTGCCATTTAGCAGCGCCTCCCCAGAGCGCCCTGCGTCCACTTCATTGATCATGTCAGCGACGCTACTAAACCGCATTTTTAAGCCACTGAAATAGTTCTGCGCGGTGGATTACAAAGAACTCTGCGAAGGCATCCGCAATCCCGGAACAAGCTCCGGGTACCTGGAGTTTAAAGAAGACGTTCCCACCGCTTACCCGGAATCTGCTAAAAGTAAACCCAGGACCAGCGCCAAAGCCTCCCTCACCTCGGGCTCCGCGTCTCTTTGCCAGGGTATGCAAAACTAACCCTACCAAATTAGCAAGATTGGGACTTAACTACCACCTCGCCACAGCCCCACCATTGGAGTTGCTTATTGTATTTAATTATCAAGGCTTTACTCTTCCCCCCACCCCCCAACCTTCTTTCCTCAGAAAGGGGACTTGGGCTGATTAAGAGGCAAAATAGAAGGGAGCAAGGAAGGGGGGACAGCCAGTGATACAAGTCAGTGCTTTGATATCGGAATTTCATCTCCCCAAGGAATCAATCTGACCTCCTCTCCCTTTTCTTTCTGGCTTTCTTTTTGTCCCTTTAAAGGCTTCCTTCGACTTCCTACTTCGAGTTGACAGCAGCGCTCAGAAGGAAAGGACATAAATGGAGCGAGTGTATGTGAGTGTGTGTTGCGTTGGTTGGGGGAAGAAGGGGGAGAGGGAACATTGGTAGAAATGCTGGGCTCTTGGAACCAATGCCTTTTTTCTCTGTCCAGCCTTGCTTGGCTCTGCCTCACCACCCCCGAAGTCTGATATCGAATCGCAGCCCCTAACTAAAGCCAAGACGGTTCTGAAACACGGGTTCAAGCCTGGAGACCACGATCTGGATCCCCGAGTCGACTCCAGCCCGCGTTATGAAGAGCCCCTGCATTCGCACGCACGTGTGCAAGTGTGCCTGCGAATCATTCACGTGTGGTCACCCAGACGTGTCGAGACGAATGGGAACCCACAGTGTCTAAACCTTGCAAGTATCCCCGACCTCCCAACACAGCGACAAAGCACCTCCTGGCTTAAGAGCGGCACAGACACCCTCTATGAAAGCAAAACGTTTACCTTGAAATCGCCGTTCTCCGCTGGATCAAATCGGCACAGCCATTCAGTGGGGGCTGGGTCCCCTCCCCCTCCTGCCCGGCGCTTCCCCGCCCCCATTCACCTCCCACCCGCTCTGACAGCCCATCGCCAAACGTGTCCAGCCAATATTAAACTTGAGCGTTTACAACTTTAATTCAGTTCTGGCTCGCCAGGGTCGAAGAGCTTCCCTCTCAGCCCACTCCCGATTCCCTCCTCTCTGCTATCAAAGGAGCCCGAAAATTTGAGCAAATAAAGTTGAATGAGCCGGGCAAGGCTGACATTTCTGACTGGGAAACGCACCTCCGATGTAAATTCGCGGGGACGCTGCACATTCTGAGTCTCAGATTTTTTCTTTTTTGGAGGGCGGGGGCGGGGAAGCTGTATCTGTTTCCCCCCTCCTGCCCACAAATGAAACCCTGGATCGTCGTCCTAGGCATCCCCGCATGAAGCCTCGTGGGAACGGGTGGGCTGAAGCCCGGCACCCAGGCCGGACCCTCGGCTCCAGGGCGCAGCTGCTCCCGCGGCGGCCCCCAGGCTGGAGCCCCCGGAGTTCCAGAACGCGAGGCTCCCCCTCCCCCACCCCGCCCCAAAGCGAAGGCCGGGAAAGGGGAGGAAGGCGGGGCGGGAGGAGAAGGGAAGACAGCCACCCGGCCGCCACACAGACACACACACACACACACACACACGCTGGAGCCTCTTTGGCAAAGTAAACGGCCGACTTACCCCGTCTCACATCTCCAAGGCCCACTCATCATAGCCACCCTTACAAAACAAACAAACAAGAAACAAATCCAAAAACCTCTTTGGGGTGTGCACTAGGGTTTGCGAGTCCAGGCGGGGCAAGAACCGCGATCCGGGCGGCTGCGAGGACAGAGGCGCCCGGACGCCGCCAGCCCCGGGCCGCCGCCGCGGTGGCGACCGCGGGTTCTGGGGCTCCCCGAAAGGCTGTCCCCGGCGCTCTCCGTGGTAGTTGGAGCGGGCAGCGGGGTGTGGGGGGAGTGTCGGGGCGGGTGGGGCGGGGGGGGGGGGGAAAGATCGCGAGCGGCGGGCTGGGAAGGGAGGGGGAGGGGGCGGCGGAGGACCGGCGGTCGAGGCGCCGCGCAGTAGGGGCCGGGAGCCGGGCGGGGCGGGGAGAGAGCTGCTGGAGGAGGGGAGAAGGCGCGGAGCCCGAGGAGGGGGACGCCGAGCGGGCTTGCCTGGCCCCGAGCGGCCCAGCCAACGTGACGGTCAGCCTCGCCGAGCGCTCGCATCCGCTCACACTCAGGCTCACTCGCACACTCGCTCCCAAGCCCGCGCCACCGCTCGATCGCGGGGTCCCCGCCATCGTCCGCCGCACCCCCCCAGACCCCCAGGCGGGTACTTACAGTTGCCATCTGCCTAAGGGCCAACTTTCTCCCAGCCAGCAGCGGCCGCCGCCCCCTCCAGCCGCCTCTGGCTCCTGGCACCCGCCGGCCTGGGTTCGCGCGGGCCGGCCCTCCCCTCCCCCCTGGGCTGTCCTCGCCGTCTTCACCACATTCCCCCCTGGTCAGTGGCGCACGCCCGGGGACGAGCCAGAGGGAGCGGGGCGCAGGGGTGTACATGCATCGCCCGCCTTCTTCTTGCAGCGCACACTGTACATGGTAGAGAGGGGGCGAGCGAAGGTGGCACCGGCCCCTCGGCTGCTCCCGCAGCGGCTGCGGCTCCCGCGTCGTCCTCCGCCCCCCCTGTGCCGCGGCGACCACCGCACTGGGATCCCGCCGCCGGTGTCCCCGCGCCGAGCCCGCCGCCGCCGCCGCGGCCCCTGATCAGTGGGTGGAAGGCTCCCGCATCCTCTTGGCCATTTCGTCGCTCCGGGTGTTTGCAGGGGCTTTTCCTCTATTCCTTCTTCGGATGCGGCGCACGATCTTCATTATTTGGGATTCTCTATTGCCGACATCCTTGAGGGGCCGGGAGGGCAGGAACAGCGTTGTTCTAAGCCTGTGGCGTGTCCCGGCCGCCCGGCGGCTCTTAAACCTCCCCCCAAAACTCAGAGAAAAGTCGCGTCTTCCCTCCCGGGCGGCGAAGAGGTGGCCACGCGGTAAGCTTCGCGGGGGTCTCTGAGACAGCCGCTCCGGCGCGGGCGCGCCCGGTGCACTTGTTTATTGTCGCGCGGCTGGTGCGAGCCACGCTGCAGCAGACATGATGGGCCCGGGGCGAAGCGGCTGCTCCGCGGCCGGTAGATGGCAGCCGAGGGCGAAGGCGTCCCCGGGCTCCGGCGGCGCTGCCGGAGCCTCCCCACTACCCGCCCCCCGCCGCCCCCGTCCCCCTCCCCCGCGCCCACTGCCACCTTCGTGGGAGACAGAGGAGTCTTGGACCATGTGCGTAACACGGGCGTGGGACTGTTGGAACCCTCCGATTGAAAAAGGGAGGAGTGGAAATAACCCCGACAGTGTCAGGCTGCTTGGTGGTCAGGAAGAGCTGATTCCAGCCCTGGGCTGATCATCTGCCTTCACCTCGCGTTTATTAGTCTCACACAGCCCGTGCTGCTGTCTCTTGTCCTGTAAAGGACCCTGGAAGAGGGAGTGGTCCATCCTAGCTGCCAACAAGGGCAATTTTTTTTTTAAGAATTAACGTTTGATAAGTATGCCTAGGCGATACAAGGGATGTGAACGACTTTCAGAGAGATTGTGAATATTATTTGGTGTATACTAAAAAGCTGGAAATCGCTAAATATATGCAGTAAGGATAGAAAGCAAGTTTCTTGAAGAGTCACCTGCTAAACTCTACTAGCGTCTTCTCTACAGTAAGTATTCCTGGCTCTTTTCATGAAACCAGAGAGCTCCCTCCCCAGAAGGGAGTCTTTACCTTCCTAAAGCACCTTTCCACAGTTTGTAATACTAGAGCTGGTAGTCCATCTGAGGCATAGAAGAAAAGTTGATCGTTCTAAGTGGCTCAATGTAGGCTGAGTTACACATGTGTCTGTTCTTTTGATAACTGGGTACTTTTATCACTTAAATGTATTTTACCCATTGAATTTTGGAATTAATTATGTAGTATCTTTTGTAGTTGTCTTAAACATAACTGATATCGTGTCCTTTTTGGTAATATTTGGGGTAACATTGTGGTTATAGTACCCTGATTACATATAAAATTAATTCTGAAAAAAATGTATATACATATTGACACTATCATGCCTTTCTACATCCTCTCTGTTGAATTAGAAAGAGTTTTCTAGAGGTGGTGAGTATGATAGTCTTCTGAGGTATTTCTTGAAATTTCTTCTGAGTCTATTTTGCAATTTCTTCTTTTTTTTTTTTACTAAAACCATTTATACTTGGTTTGGAAAGATTTTGTTAGTTTTGCTTAAATTTGGGGTAGTTACCAGGGAGGGAGAAAAGAAGAAATCTATAAAGAAATCTATAGTATCAGATAATTAAAAGTAAAGTATTATAATAAGAGAACTTCCTAGTAAATTTACAACCATTTGGCCTAGGAATGATAGTCCTAATGTTACAGGTACATTATATAAACAGGCAACTTAAACTTCACCCAAAACAGGCTTGTTGCTAGTATTGTTTATTTAGTCATTATCCTCTAACATGATATAAACACTGTAGAAATTTTTTAAAGTATAAAATTGCTTTTATATTTGCAAAATGAAAGTATTTAAGTATCATAATTTTCAAATTACATGTTAATTACAGTTACAAACTTTTGAAATATAAATGTTAAGCTCTATCACAGAGACATATTTTTCAATGTTGATAATCTCTATAGAAGTTCTCAATGGGTATGAAGTGACTTATATAATTATTAGACTTCTCAAAGTAACTGAAGCATAGTTATTTTAGTCCCTTCTTCTATTCCTTTCCTAAATCTTCGCAATTGCATTTGATATCAAATTTTAGTTTAATTGTTGGTTTTGTGTTATTTTTATTTTGTTATCCTAATTAAAATAAAGCTTGTTAAGCAGCATTAACATGTTTGCAATTAATTTAGGTTATAATTTTGTTAGAAAGACTGACACTAAAAGTATTCTAGTTTACCTCTTGTGGTTAGATAAGTTAATGACAACTATCATTAACTCAGCATGGAAGATGGCCTGAGAGCCACCATGAGTTTACCACTAGGTGTCTCTGTAAGCTTCCCTGCGGGAAAGTGAATTTTGAGAAAATACTGTGACATGAAGAGACAAGAACAGAAAAATGGAGAAAGAAAACATCATAAAAACAAGAAAAGGCCTCGTTTTTTAGTGTGTAGACTTTTGTTTGCTTTGACTGTTGACTACTGCCTAGAAAAGATATAAATGAATCGTGTAGCTGATCTAATTTGAGCAAGATTTTTATCTAGGGGAGGAAACATGTTTTAGTCTGTATTCAGCAATATATAGTCATGTGATATGTATACATGCTACAACTCAACACTCAAATGTACGCATATGATTACATAAACACACTTAGGAGCTAGAAAATTAAATGACTGATCAAATACATCTCTCCAGATTTTAGGTCATTGATACCAAATTGGACATTTTTTGATTGAGATGAATGTGAAAAGCTGAGAATCTTTGTCCAGCTGTTTATGAATATATTTATGCATATTATAATTAGCTCATGATCTCATGTCATTATGAATACATTTCCTATGTGGTAATAGATTTGTCAATAATTAGTGCAAATTATGGACCTAATTTAATACCTGCATATTAAAATTTAAGTTCAAACTACAATTAGCATATTTGTCACTTAAAATTGACCATATAGTTTTGTGAATTCATATTTATTATTACCTGGAATTATTGTTTTAGTGCCTTATGAACGAGGGAAAATTTCTTACATTGAAAGCATTTCTTAAGATAATCTCATCAAATTACTTTTGTGTATCACTCTGTGGTTTATTTAGAATAGTACAGAGCTTAGTCAAGAATTATAGTCCATCATGCAGGAATCTAACAGAGATTATAAAAAAGGACATTCTTTGGTGATAATTATGAGATTTTACAACTATAAATCAAAATCATTGAGACCAAAACCAGTAGACCTTGTATTTTCTGTTGTTGTTTTTAGCCTAACTAGTGAATTAGGATTTTAGAATTCTAATACTGGATTCCAGACTCCTCCCAAATTAACTTGGATAAATTACTTTTATGATAATAATAGGTAAGAAGACTATATACTACCTTATTTAATAAATGAAAAAAGTTTCAGATTTAAATTATATTTTTAATGTCTTTGAAACTGAAATTACATATCCCATGTACCCCTGAAAAGAGAGATGTTTTTCTTGGAGGTGAAAACATGAGTCATCATTTATGATTGTTTCTCTGTGCAGTTGCTAATCTAAATAATGATATAGCATATTGTTTTGATCAGTTTCCTACATTTCAAATTACAATTAAATATATCATGTAGTGATATTTATCAAATCTGAAATGGCTGGCTAAACTGACTTAATTTAGCAAGATTATTTATTCACTTACAGACTTAACTAGTTATCTGCAGTCTTAGAAATATGCTCTCAGAGGCATCAAAGAAAAGATGTATAAAATAGACCATTTTATTCCTGCCTCATATAGTTCCTTGTACATACCCTCTAATTTTTTTTTCTGTGTGGCAGTTTTGGGTATGAAAACCTCCTCTTTGGAGGACCACTTGAAAATAACTACCCAAAGTTAAAATGGATATCTCTTTTGAACAATCATACTTTCAGAAAGTAGTCTATAAATGTTACCAAAGTAAAGTATAGGACGTGATATGTAAGAAGATATTCATTAACGGACTCATGCATTTGTAAATGGTTTAAAACAGCCTACATGTCTGACTAAACGGGAAGTGGTACATATCAACCTATAGTTTGGGAGACTTTTCTTCCTGTAATAACAGTGTATATAGGAATCCAGATCTGTCATTATTAATAGTATAAGTAGCATCAGCTATGAACCCTGTTGAAACAGAGAAACAGAGAAAGACAGTAAGAAAGGGAGAAAAGAGAAATTTTCAGGAAAGATACACAAATTCTGCAGCAGTCATTGCCTCTCGGAGAACTGGAAAATCTTGAGTAGAATGGAGATTTATTTTTCACCGCACACACAACACACACACACACACACACACACACACACAGTGAGTGAGTGAGTGCTCAGTGGTATCTGATTCTTTTGCAACCCCACAGACTGTAGTCCGCCATGCTCCTCTGTCCATGGGATTTCCCAGGCAACTGGAGTAGGTTGCCATTTTCTTCTCCAAGGGATCTTCCCAACACAGGGCTTGAATTTGTGTCTCCTGCATTGGCAGGAGGGTCCTTTACCACTCAGTTACCATGGAAGCCACCTGGAAGAGTGTATATATAAGTATATATATACACATATATATATATTTACATGCACATTATATATAAACATTTCAATTTACATGCACATTCCCTATAAAAACATTATGTACTTGAGAAATGAGGATAATATTTGGAAGAATGATAGGAAAGGTGATGAAGAAGATGATTTTACCATATTACATTCTGTCTTATAGTTCTCAAAACTATTTTATTTTTTTATGGTACACTATTACCTATGGAAGTACTGAATATCTTTCTAAAAATATGAGTATAAACTAGTTAGTTAAAATGATTTCTCTCCATAGCGCTTATATGTGCCACTCAATTCTAGCTGCCAATATTAATTAATAGAAGCTAGCTTCCCTTTATCTTCACTATACAGGGTCATACTGTGTACTGGCAATATTAGCTTTATCTGATATGATGGGTGAAGGGGACGATCAAAATGATTCTCTAGAGAGAATAAGTGAATATACTTGAAATTGTCAGCAGCAGA